TTTAAAGGATTAAGATATTTTGCTGATGACATTTGGTGTGTAATCAGCAGACTGGGTAAAAACGTGTTCTGTGGACATGTAATGCTCTAATAGCGGCACAATTAGCTAGCACAGATATTAATGGATAAAAAAAGTGATGCACCTTTAAATGAAAACATGATTTTCTCTGTAGAGTTTATGCCTGCCGTGTGCTTCAGCTGACAATCAGCCATCACACAGATGTAACATAACACTGATTAGCGAAGCAAATAAAATGTGTCTCTTTTTCTTCTCCGGAAATCACATTTGCTGTGTAACTGAAACGATTCCTGAGCCCACATTGAGTCAGAATCACATTAAAAGGCGTTTCTTGTTTGCGCGTGTGGGAGAGAGAGATAGCTCGTGACCACGAGGTGGATCTAAATGCCTACGTCTCTTTGTCGTAAAAAATTAAGTAAGCTTACTGTAAGCAGATTCTAAAAAAGCTGGTATTAAAGTGGATCATCGGTCACACTGTGAGGGTTGAGGCAGTGAGCTGTTGGTTCAGCCCAGCAGCCTGCTCGCTGATCAAACTGCAGACACCCTGCTGGGTCAGTTTGATTAAACAGAGATTGAGCCCTGAGCTACAATTCCAGATTTGGTAAAGCGCTGCAAGTGCAGGGTTGATTCGGAGCATGTCTTTTCAGAGATCACGGTCAGGAAAACCGTGTGCACACTTTTAAAGTTGAAAATGAAGAATTATTCGCAGCCCGTGACGACGACTAAAAATGAATTGTATCGTCTGATGTGCGAGTCTGCTTCAAATGTTTGCTGTCAGTGTGAGAAATGAGAACATTAATCATGGACCTGAGCCAGGCAATCAACCCAGTGTGTGGTTAATACTTTGGGAAAGATTAGAACAAACACAAAGTGTCATACTTATTAGTTAAAATTTGAAATGTGTTTTTACATTTATTTTTTTCACATTTCCGCTCTATTTTCATTTTCTACATATCTACATTTTAATTATTTTAATAACGGCAGCCAACTCTAAATTTGAATTATCAGTGCACTAATAAAGAATTATACATTAATTACAATTTTTGTTTAAACACTCTTGTCTGATTCTTTTTGTCGTCTGTGCACACTTAAATACGGAGCAGGAAGTGTTTTTGCACAGCAGACCTGCCTGTTTAAACAAACACTGAGCCAAATTTGTGGCTTTCATATTTTTGGTTGGTGAAAGCCGCAAAAAAAAAAAAAAAGCCCACATGTTGGTCAGAAACGTGTGTGTGTGCGTTGCTCTCACCCTGCTGGCTGGGCTCTGGATCAGCCTGGTTCTTCTTAACGGTGAGGTCCAACGGGCCGTCCTGGTCGGCCATGAGAAGCTTGCTGAGGACGGGATTCTGTGCAGAGGCAGCAGCCGTACCTCCTCCTCCTCCCCCACCATTACTGGTTCCCGTACTGTTGCTGCTCTGGGTGCAGGCGAGTGCTGAGGCAGCAGCAGCGGAGGTGGGGCTGAAGCATCGTCCCGGGGTCGGGGATGGAGAGGAGGAGGCAGATGATGGAGGAGAGTTTGGCGCAGCCAGTGGCCCGGGCGGAGAGCTGGGGGCCGGGGCCAGAGACACCGCTTTTGGCAGGCTTTGGTCCTTCATGGTGCCGTTGGGCAGGGGCGGGTCGTCCTGAGTAGTTTTTGAGGTATATTCAGCAGCGAACTGGCGGATCATTCGCTGCATGATCTCACGAGCCACTAGAGGAATGTGAGGGTCTGAGAAACTTGGGAGGTCTGGAGAGGAACAAAACAGGAGAGCAAACATGTTAGCGTCCCGACCTCCAGGAGTCTGCTCAGCCGATGCTGCTCTCAGAGACTTATTTATACCATTTCATCCAAAAATGTAATCCTGATGCTTTGCTCAAATAATCACTTGGAAGAAGGGCTTAAACCTGCCTATTGATGTTGGAAACACCACGATATCAGTTTGTGCAACAGATTACTGCTTCCCATTATTCAGCTCGGGCTTCCATAACAATTCCCTTCCTCGGGATTCCTTCTTGTTTTCAGTCTTACGCTCCGCACTATGTCATCTCTAAACACTGTATTTCAGAGCAGTTTGTCGAGATCTTGCAGCAGTGTGTTCACTTGAATATATTTGCGCAGGCAAACAGCCCACATGGTGCAGACACCACAGCCTCTCTGTTCACAACACCAACAAGTATTTGATCTGTCACTTTGACAACAACATAAAATCAGCACTTTTTATTTTTTGTGTAGTTGTTCATCAAACCCATATTTTGAATGATTTGGATTTTCAGCATCGTTTAACATTTTCTCCTTTCCACCATTTTATATCAAAACTGAATATTTTTGCGTTTTCTGATTTTAGATAAAATTAGCAATCTGAAGATATTGGTTGGAGCTCCTACAATCTTTATACATAATAATCATCTTCAAACACAATGTGTGAAAATATAAAATACAGTGTTTAAATTATTATTTCATTTATTAAAATGAAAAAAAAAATTCACCCCATCCCAATTTCTTAGTTTAGATGAAACGGCACAATCACCATGACAAGTTTTTACTTTACTTACTACAAAGTATTCTGCAAATGTTCCAGGTTTGGCAAATAGGAGGAATAATTTGATATTCTGAAAATCTGAAGCAACATTTATCCCACAGACAACTCCTATCATCTACAAGAGGAACTTTACAACTGTGTTTGACAAAAATTAGTCAAATTGTACTTAAGGGTAGTCTAAATTATTACATGCTTTGGTTTCACCTCCTGTTACTGGTTTCTGTAAGATTGCACAACACTACATCAAACTAAATCATCTGCTTGAGTTTCTTTTTGTTTCATAAATAAAGGCATTTTGACTTCCACATTTTTTAAAAATACAAAAATACTTGAGACACGAGTAAAAAATAAATAAATAAGAAACCCAGGTAGTGAAAGAAACTAGAAGCAGACGTCATATTTCTACCATATTAGTTTCTCATCATTGGCTCCGTGTTAAATTTAGAACTGAATGTCCTGAGAGATCAGTCCCATCACATCTTAAAGAACAAATAGTACCACATTATCCCAACACAGCACTTCTCCCTCCTCTCCTGGCAGCCTGGATACTTTTGGGATTAGGCTTAAACTTTCCTTTTTGATAATGCTCATTGGCCCTTAGTTGTGCTGGGGACTTCCCATGGTGCACTTTTATGTCAGTACTGCTTATTATAAATGTTTTTTTCTTGTTTCTATCATAGGTTTTGTTCTTGCACTTGTTTCTCTTTGCCCTCTTCTTTCTTGCTTTTCCTCACACTAAGTCAGGGTAGGCGGCTACTGCCTGGTCATGTCAGAAGTCCTGACTTCTGTTAAAAGGGAGTTCTTCCCTACTGTCGCCCAATGCTTGCTCATAGGGGGTTAATTTGATTGCCTAGTGGTTTCTTTCTAATATTGCAGGTCTTTATGTTTCAATATAAAGCATCTCGAGGGCAGTTTCACTGTAAATTGACACTTTATATGAAATTAAACTGATTAAGAAAAATAACCGTTTCAAAGTCCAGCAAATATCAGAAGAGCAATCAGGGGGAAAACCAACGATTTCATAATCGAACTTTCTGTGACCTCCTGCTGTGACCAAACAAATCCAGATCAAACACTGGTCACTGATCTCGCTGGTTAATACACACTCAACAAAGCAGTGAGAATGACAACACTCGTTTGTTATTAAATCCATTAATCTGGCATTGTCCCAGATAAGTCAGCTCTACTTACTACTTATAAGCAAAAAGTATACATTATTATGCAGATAAATTCACGCATGCCACAAATCCTTCAAACAATACATTAGCCCAAAAAATGTAATCCTGACGCTGTGCTGAAATAATCCAGAAATCACATGCAACGTACATACAAGATACACAACTACTAATCCTGCCTATTGAGAAAGGCACCAGTATACGACAGCTGCTAGCCATTGCCAGCCATTCATCAGATATCTGCTTTTTCAAAATCTAACCCTAATTTGTACAAGATGATTTTTAAACCCCGGCAGCACGGTGGCACGGTGGTTAGCACTGTTGCCGCACAG